CCAAAGTTTAACATTATTAAACAAAACCTATCTTAGGCTTTTTGTCAAAAGAGCGTTACGAGTATTTGTGTTATATATGTTAGGTACAATGTTTATGATATAATGAATTGAGTGTTTGCGAACCCTAGCCATTAGTTCCACCAGCATACGAGTATATAAAATATTGGACGATCATTTAACCGTGCAATGTTGAAAGATTCGTTCTCGATAGATCGTTGGATCCCACTCCCCATCATTTGACAAAATCTCAAAAAGATGTTCGTATGGATTGTTGCACCGTGCACACAAATGCTTCAAAAATACAATAGCGGTGCGGTGCTTCAAAATACGTATACGAGTATTAGATTGTAACAAGAGACGAATTATGGATATATGCATATGAGCTGAAACATAAACAGCAGTCGGAAAAACTGGACATGTGACAACTACACGTAAAACCATTACAGGAACATAAAATGATCAATTCTAAATGGTATACAACCATTTGTTACAACCAACCGGAAATCTTCAGTGAAACACGGAAAGCAAACAAGCGCAGTCGGATCATTTTCCATCTCCATCAAGACAATGTGAGTGTTCAGACATCTCGTCTAACAGTCTAACAACTGATTATTTGAACATTTAAAAAAATCGAATTGAATGATCATCCGCCGTTCACCGTACAGTCTGGGTGCTGATGTGGCATCCAATGACTTCTGACGACCTTCTTGTAAATTGAGTGGACAACGTTTTTTGTTGTCTAACGGTGGAGGAAGCAGAAGCCAAAACAACAAATGTTTGAAGGTGTCTTAAGAAGATTTGAAAGACGGCTTCGACAAATGGCTCGAACGCATGCAAAAGTGTATTATTCGGAAAGGAGAATACTTCCAGAAACAATAAAGCAATTTTTAGCGACAAGTTAGTATTTTTCCATTATTAGACTTAAAATATAAATAGTCACTCTTGTGTGAGGGATCCTTACTAATCGAATTTATTAACTAAATCGCCGTATTTAATCGTTGATACATTTAAGTGGTTATTAGGTAGCCGGTTGATTTCCATGTCCATCATTTTAGACTTATTGATTTTTGGTTCGTTATATCAACTGCGTAATGATAGTTTCAATGTATTGGGATTAAGAATTGGGATTATAAACATTACATTGCATTATATTAAAAAATATGGACTATTTCGGATACATTAATCAAATTACATTTAAATAACTATTTTTATTTATTGTCATACATTACTCATACATTCCTAATATGTTTATTTCAATACAAAATAAAGATATGTTTGAGTAATACATAAATAAATTCCTATGTACAATTTTTATGCCTAATGAATAAATTTGTCCATTACCTTAAGATTTTGATTGATATCCAAAATATGTTAATGTTTTTCCCATTATTGATTGCCTTAGACCAAACATTCATGATTAGTTCGAAACTGCTGAAAGGCAGTAGCCGGTACCGTGGGTGGATTGCGTTGATAATAAAGAAAACTTATACTTAGTTGTTAACTACAATCTTAAAGGCGTTCGTATCTCTAACAAAATAATTGAAGTATTGAATTAAAAAATTTTAAACTAAATTTAACAAAAATGTATTTAAGTGCGTTGATAAATTGCAGTTAAAGTTCAAAGCGTTGTGATTCGAAAATCATGTATTTAGGGTTTGGTACAAATTTATATTCTTAATAATTTATTTTTTTTTTTGATTAAATTTTTAAGTTAACCTATGTGTAAAGTTATGACTTTTAAATATCAATATTAGAAATAACGGTATTTATCTATACCAAATTGGTTAACCTCAAAAATGTCAAAATTATCAGGCACTTGGAAAACTGTAAAGTCATTTAAATATATTTAAATATATTCAACCTTTTCATATAAAGGTGGAAGACAAGTATAATTTTGTTGTTCAAATGTCTCAAAAAAACTAACCCGTTAAAATGAAAATAATGAAAATAGATTAAAATGTGACAATACAATAGTCTTTTCGTGCTCAGTCTTTTCTTGAAAGATGTAGAGCAATTACCGACTTGAAGCTCCAGTTATGAATTCTACATGTAACCTTAATGTTGAATTGAGTTTCACTAACAACTCGTGGAACCATATCATCATAAATGATTATTATTATTAATTAAGTGGGGAACACTTCACACCACAACTAAGATAGTCTATTGTGCTAAACCCAGTTGATTAAATTGATCAATAGTCATTCAATAAACGTAAGCAGCCTTAACGGCTTTGTATTGAGTGGATAGCAACAAGTAAATCCACTCGATGAAGTCTGTCGCTGCTCAGTGTAAGATAGTTACAGAAAATTTAGCTTAGACGTTTTCAGAATTCTGTTCCTAAAATCGATAAGTACTAGTCTCTTAAAGATCTATGTTGTTGAGTTACTATTTCAGTCTGCAGTGCGCTGTCAGAAATGCGGAGAGCATGTTAATATCTTATCTTCTCAGTGTAAAGAGTATATTAGAGATTGCTTTAGTTAAGTTGATGATTCTCTTAGCTTGTCTTTTGCTTTAACAGTTCTTATAGTAGTTTTTGAATTGGAAGTCTTCCCAGTAACTAATACGTGCTTTTTTGCTAAAGTATGAAATGACTCAGGTTCATTTAATTGCTGTTGAACTCACCGGTTGGCGAAACAAATAACTCATTCGCTGCCTTCGGGTCTTTCATATCGCGGGACCCATTTTAAAATGACGTGGTTACTCTTCCCAGTTCATTAACGAAAATTAATGTTGGATTACTGCCATCATACTTGAATAAAGTATGACAGATTTTAAGACTAGTAATACCGCTTGAGTGGCAATCATTTTTAGACCAGTAATACCGCTTGAGTGCCAATCCTTATGTTGATTGTCGTTATATTAATCTCTCATTAACTAAGAAAATTTGAATTCAAATTTAAAAATGTTTTCAGTATACCATTTTCTTATATGTGACTGACCAAAGTAAAAAATATGCAAAATATTTAAAATATCTCTATCTATTATATTTTAGAAAAGTATCTCAAGTATACCTAAAATATAACGTGCGACATAATATATTTTCATAAGGTGAAGTGAAAATAAACTATGAAAATATCAAAAGTCTTATCTGAAATAATTTGAAAAAATATTTTAATGGAACACTATGAAAATAATCATGACATATATATAATATTTTATTTCATTTCTTGTATTTAATACTATGGGCTACTGTCGTACACAGTTTTTATGTTAACATATGTTGTGTTCTCTCTAATTGCTTGAACTGCTTCGTTTGACGCTCTATCTTGTTGAATCTATCTTAAAACAAATGCACGACAAAGTTACACCGTAATTAGCCTGATATCATACCATAAAAAATCTTAACAAGTTTGTAATTAGCATAAGTCAACTTACTCAATATTTGCTAAATGCTCACAATAAAATATTTACTTCTATGCAATTGCACATTTTAGTCAGAGACGCAGTGTAGCACTTTTTGAAAAGGAACATCTTATACCGAGACATTTCTAAAATTGTGCAGAAGACATTGGAGACTCCATTAAGCATATGAGTGTTGGATAAACTCAATTGAATGAATCGATTGATATACAATATCAAATATACCGAGAAATTTTTAAAATTGTGCAGAAGATATTGGAGACCCCCTGAAGTATATGAGTTTTGGATAAACTCAATAAAATAAATCGAATAGTTTCTTCGTATCTCAAGATCTCAATTATTTTAGTAAAGTCTTTTAAGTGTTTATATGTCCAAAAATGGGTTGCTATGTTCGTCTATTGTAGCTTATAATCTCTTAACTCTAACCATTATGTATTTTCAATGGATTATAGAAAATTATGAATAAAATTTTTTGTAAATATCAGAAAAACAAAGTCTTTCTTACATATATACTCCTGTAACTGATTTGCAGTAGCATCTTCCTCTTTACCAAACGCAGCATATTCGTACAAATTATTTGTAGATCAATATTCTATATATGACACTTAACTTCCTGAGTAAGAGCAGCGGAAGTGATGTGAGGGTTGTACGCTTCTTCGATCTGCATATTTATCCATATCTAGATCTTAAGTAATGTATGCTGCTTTACTTTTCCCACGCATATTGTAGATTTGAAATGTTTAGTTTTCACCTTCTATATTTTCTTAAGTTATTTCAGTGAATAAATTACTAAAAACTATTGCTTAACATACATGTTTTTATAGGAAATATTTTATTATATTATAAAATATTTTTACCAAGGTTATATTTAGACTATTATGAAATGAAGCTATCAGTACAAAGTTAGCAGTAGCTATAAGCTCCATGAGCAGACACAATATCCTTTATAGAAAGCTTTTGCATACATTAATAAAGTTTGTTCAAAATTTACATTATGTTATTGTTAAAAATGCTATCTTCACATAAGCATCTTTAAAGCCTAGAACTAGAAAATAATATCTTTCTACACAAATAAAGGATATTGATATGAAGAATGAAGTTCTTTGGTCACCCCAAAATACTAATTAAATTAAATGATAAATTATAAATAGCTGTGAACTAATCTATATTACCTTCGTAATATACAGTAATGTCTCTTGATGTATCGTAAAGTAGTTACTTCAGTTAACTGACTTATTGTACTCCTCAAGTACAATGAAAAAAATAAAACAGAGTTAAGCTTAAAATAATCTTTAAAAACCCAGTAAAACCTGAAACAGAGAATTATATACTGCACAGTTCATTATCAAGATATGAACTCAGAAATATGTGAGTAGTTCAACTAATATTCTTAATCATAGTCTGACCCCACTTAAATATTCTGAGCTGCGCCCATTAAATACCTAATTGTGCCGTAGATACATATAGAAACATAATTCAAATTCACACTTAACAAAACTGGCAATTTACTTGTTTTTGATTAGATTTCTGAAAGTATGTCTGTCTCTGCATTCGCCTGCGTATCTGGTGATTTGTTGTGAAAAATAAAAGCTTTTAACATAATTTTGACAATTGACACTTGTACGTACCCGTGCCACAGCATGTATTTTACGCCATCTGTGCGTACACCTATGTCCGTCCATCGTTCTACAGGTAAGAGGACTTTCTTGCTTTCTTGTAAGTCCGTAAAAGTGCCTGTCTTCTGTTAAAATATTGCCAAGAGTAATTTTTCACATTTGCTGAAAAACCTTTGACAGCACTTGGATATATGACAATAATTTATAGTAGAGGACAGCATGATTAATACTTTCCCTATTCAATACTCGTATTATTTTTAAGGAGTTAGTTGATGTATGTTTTTTATATTATTGTATGGTATATGGTTACCAAATTTAATTACAATTTTCTGTACATATATGGATATTATTAATTACTATTAATATATTATTATTATTGTTAATATTTATTATTATTTTTTTTTTTGTTACAATTATATTATTAGTTTTTTAAAATGTATTTTGCTTTTCAAATAAGAGATATTATGGGACCTGAACTCTGGTTCAGTAAACGTGTTACTTAATATCTGCTAAGTACAATTCAACAATAGTAATAAATTAACAAATAGTTAGGATTGTACTATTCATATCCAATAAATGTTTTTAAAAACAAAAAAAAAAGAGCTATACGTAATTAAAGCATAAACGTAAACGAGTTTGATCCACAAATAATACGAGCCTGTATAGAAATTAGGGGAACATTATTCAGTAAGTCATCGCAGGTACTTCCATAATTTGACGATATTCTTATAAAAGCCCGTTCGTCAAATTTACAATGAGAAAGATATACACAGCTCAAAGATGCAATACCATCTTTACTGCTTGTTACAAAGCTATACATAAACTTCATAAATATTAACAACACCAATAAGTGCAAGAATAATGTAAAGAATACTACATAGCTAAAACAGTTATAATTTGCATTATGAAGTTCGCTATCTATAGTTCTGCGCCATGCTTGTGCTGGTTGTCCAGGCGTTCTAGAACCTTGGATGTTCCATCTGAGTGCTGTTTGCAGGGCTTCGAAGTATACGGCCAATCCATTGCGTCGACCAATCCGAACTGAAACGGTTTCTTGTTGTTGGCTTCACCGATCTTCATTTCTTATTCTTTCAGGCCATCTTATACCATGTATTCTGTGCAAGTACTTATTAATGAAGGTCTGTATTTTTGACTCAATGCGATTGGAATATTTCCATATTTCTCAGCCATAAATGATCAGAGATTTTATATTTGATTCGAAGATGCGAAGTTTCGTTTTTCGAGATATTTGACTCAGTGTCCATATATTCTTTAGCACACCAAAGCTAGAGTTAGCTTTGTTAACGCGCTTAGCTACATTCTCATCAGCGTCACTTCTAGTTGTGAGTACACTCCATACATAGACAGTTTTGCACGCACTCTACGTTTTTTGCGCCCAACTTAAGTACCAGACATTGTGTTGAGCAGTAGTCACTGCTCATAATTTTTGTTTTCTTTGCGTTGATTTCTTATAATATTTATCTGTAATATTTATCTGATTAAAAACTCTTCGAAAACGAATTTAGGGAAGTTATTTATTCCAGTATGTGAACACGCTAAATGACATATTCGATGTAATGTTAACATAATAGATATCGTAAGAAACATAAAACTTTCGATAAATATAGAGAGAATACGTATAAGGCATTAATAAGAACAATACACATAAAAAATATAAAAACACAACCCTGGAAAATAGTAAACCGAGGAAGATCGCACGTAATATTGATTGACTACGTAGTAGTTGACTGACGATATTTTACAAACAACTGTTTGCTACCAGGAAGAGAGAAGTACTTCTTGAGATGGTTAAGATTCGACACGAGCTGTTATTTATAACCTCTGAAATGATGACGTGTTATGTAGTTACATAATTACATAGTTCGAGTGACTAAACACTTTAAAGCAGTTTTAATAACGAAGGAACAGTTTTTTTTACTTGTAAGAAATTAGTGTTGTAAAGTTTAAAACTAAGTTGCAAACTGTCAATCCTCATTTAAAATATTTTGTAGGTTAAAAGTGCAGTTAGCATTATTAATTTTTAAAGTACTTTTAAAGGTAAATATTTAATAACCATATACATACACTTTGAAACAAAGTGTCCATACCAAATATATTAATTTAACTGCCTCTAATAATATACTATACATAAATAATAATTTTTCAACATATGAAATGTAATTATGGTCTCAAAACCTATAAACATTTCAACAGACCTCTTGAATAAAAATCTTCCGCTAAAGGTGTATGCTTATTCACACATCATTGAATATTTTAAAGAGTCCATAATGTTTATCCTTTCAAGTAACACCTTAGATACTTCAATAAATCGCCACTCTATCGGAGTTGTCTGCATAATTACAGAAAAGTAAAATAGCTTTAATGGCTCATAACATATTAGCACCAAAATCAATTGTCTGTTCATAGAAGTCTGTCAGTCAATTCGTCAGTTTTACGAGTCAATGTTGTAAGCTCTTTCATCTCCTAAATTAATTTTATATTGGATCTTTTAGTATATGTTATTGCTTTGCCTGTATACAAAGTCAGTCTTTGAGTGCTTAAAATTTGCTGTTAGCTAAAAATTATATTTTATGTGATTATTTTTAGAAGACATCATATTTTTCAAAAAAAAATTTTAATTTTTTCTACAAATTTATGTGAAAATTGCAATTTTCAAAAAGTGAAAACAAAAATTGTTTAAAAGAAATAAATAGAGAAGATCAAACAACGCCTATTGTGCGCGAACCTGTACGCGACGATTATTTAATTTTCTATGTCATGACTCACTTCTATGAAAAGATTTCTATAATCATAATTCAGTCTGCGTATTTTTGGATTGATATATACATGTTTTTGAAGATAAAAAGCAGATTTGTATCTTTTCTTTTGCAATGAAATATTATTTCTTTGTAATTTACTTTGATGTTTCCAAACACAAGAATAAATTACGAAGGGGTTCAGATAATATTTGCTTAATACAGTTTTTGCTTTTCCATCTGAGTTTACTTTGTTAAGCTTATTTTTAGATTATCTATCTTAAATATCGTCTTATACAGAAATTTAGTTGGAAATATGTTTTAAGAGAGGCACTATGCCCCTATAGGAGTTAAAGGGATTAACAACAACATGATTCAGATATCAGCTATTTATTGTGATATCTTCATAGTTCCAGGGAAAGAGGAGCCTTAGCTTCACTTACTATCATTTCCATTGTAACTCTATACGCTATTCTATTTAAACAATTTGATCTTCCAGATTCAATAAGTCTGGCATTTCTGCTAATCCAAGGAAGTCAGGGCGACGTAATTTGTAATTATATTCGAAAAATAATGAGTTTACGAAAACATATGGTCTTCAGCGGAACAAGTCTCCGTGTTTATTTGACAACTAGATAAGTGTGACTGCAGCTTGATAGACACATATCAAGAGAGGACAACTATAAGATTATAGTTTAAGTAACTAATTCCTGGGTCTTTAGTGCACATGCTGTTAAACTGAGATTATCCTCACATGAATATTGCAAAGGATGTGAATATAAGAAACAAGAGGAAACAGTTAAATACTTCTTTAGCAGATGCTCGTCTCTAATTGGAAACAGACTAAACTTCTTCGATAATTATGTATTTACCTTTCGTATGAAACTATACGAAATAAAAAAGATGCTACTTTTTATTATTATTATTATTAACATGTTTATTACAATTTCAGATTTTACGAACTTAGCCTATTCAAATAAGTTTTTCATAAAGTTTCTTTAATTTTGTTGATCTCTTGCAATATATCTTAGTTTACTTACTGACTTATTCGTTTCGCGTTCTATGGTTCTACGCCAAGTATTGCTTGGTCTACCTTGTGTTCTTCTTCCTTAAGGGTTCCTGCAGAGTACGGTTGGTGTTACATCGTCTGTGTTTTTCTGCAGTGTATGACTCAAACATCTGAATTTACGAAGCCGTATTTGCTGTACAATTGATTGTAATACGCCACAACATCCCGATATGTAAAAATAGCGGCTGCAATAGTCCTGCTGTCACATCTGGATTTGCTTTAAAGCATTCTGCAGGAATTCCATCTGCATTTTATCAGGATTTTGAAATTGTTCTATAATTTTTAAACTGGTAATGTCAAGTGTTAAATAGTAATATCGCCCATAGAGTCAAACTAAGTTAATCTCAGAGTTCTTCATGAATCACCAATACAGTCTACATCGATTTGTCAACTGTTTAAATCTTATTCACGTCTTATGATGCGCCGTCTTTGTATTTCTTAAGCATTTTTTCACTCCAATCGATAGTTTTTGTTAAAAACTATATAGCTATTGTTAAATTATGTTATATTCAATAAAAACAAATTATTTTCACAGTTTTATGATCGATTACGCAATATTGTATATAGTACCTAAAGTTCCCAATGCACAATATGAATGTTTTTTGAAATAACCACTATTTATGGATGACTTTGAATGAATCTGGTCCTTGGGCGAACTATGTTTGCGATAAAATTTATTAAAAAAACCTTTTATGGTTGTCAAGAATTGACCCGACTTCTTTGTTGTATTTTTTGACTGGATAATAATCATTGCACAGACATTTGCACTGCATATGATCATTTTTTGTTGAAACACATTTTTGAAGTCATTCCAAACAGCACAACTCTTATAATAAAGATCTTATATAATAATAAGTTCTTATAGTAAAAAAAGTGTTCTAGATAAAATATTGATCAAAAATGTCATACCCAGTGGAAATATCTTCTTGAATCTAGCATTATCTAGGGTTGCCAATGCTCATAATATAAACAGTGACCCTTATCTTGTAAAGATTTTATATTCAATACGTAAACTACTACTCAGCTTTATTGAAGCTTAAATTATGGTAGACAGATTCACAGCTCCATTACTTTTTTTATATTCGTTAATACTTTAATCAATGCACAATATTTCAATTTCAATTATTTAATATATTTAAACGATTACAACTCATTTCGCAAATTACTATACTATTCATATTATTCATGTTTTTTTGCATTTATCGCATTCATAACGTTGATTGCGTTTTTCTTATTTAAAATGCAAATTAA